CTGGGGTGTTGGCAGGGCGCTCTCCCGGACCGGGAATGTGTCCCCAGCCCCACGGAGGGCATTGCCGCCCGCCGCCCCATGCCCGAGCGTGGCCGCACACGCGTGCCCAGCCCGCGCTGCCCCGGACGCTGCCCGCACTGGGGGGGCTGGCACTCACCGCCTCGCCGGCACGGCTCCGCTCCCCCGGGACCCTACCAGCCCCGGGCACGGGTGTCCGCAGCACACCTGCCCCACGCGCGGGGTCCCTGCCCCACGCGCAGCATCCCTGCCCCACGCGCAGCATCCCTGCCCCACGCACAGCATCCCTGCCGCTGACACAGGGTCCCTGCCGTCCACATCACCTGGCCGGGACACAGGGGACCGCGGTGACGGGATAGCCCGGGGGGTGCTGTCACGCCGCGGGGATGCGCGTGGGTGGCCGTGACGCGGGCGGGATGCGGGGCTGTATCGGTGCTGCTGCAGACGCGAACGGTCCGGAGCCCGGCTGCCCCCGGCGCTGCCCCCTCGGGCAGGACTCGGCGGGAGGAGGAGCGGTCGGGCGGACCCCCGTGGCTGGGCCGCCCCGGCGGCCGGGCCGGGGGTCGTGTGGCCGGGGGTACGATGGATGCCCGGGGCTGGCGGCCACTGGCAGGTGTCACGGCAGCCGGGAAGTGGCGGCTGCAGACAAAGGACCGGGCTGGGGGCGGGGAGCTGCGCGAAGCTGGACGTGCGCTCTGCGGGGAGTCCGAGGGGGGGACCCCCTTCTGCGTCCGGAGGTCCCGGCCCGCTGACCCTCTTGCCGCCACCGGAGACGTCCCCTAGCCTGGCCTCGATGTGCCAGGAGGGCACAGTGGGCACCCGGGGGGGCTGCAGCCACAACCGTCCTGGCAGCCCCAGGGACCTTGCGTTCTCAGCGCGGCCCCGTCTGCAGGGGGACACTGCAGAGCCGGCGTGGTGAGTGGGCATCCCTTGGATGCAGGGGATCCCATATGGAGGGTGCTGTCATACTGACCCCCAGCTGGGCATGGAGCAGGGCTGTCCCCATGGCACCCATGGGGATGTGGTGATGGATGGATATGGGGGCAGAGGGGCAGGGAGTGCACCAGAGCAGTCCACGCCAACCCTGCAATGAGAAGTGTGGGGGCCTGGCGGTGCCAGCGCTGGTTCGGGCAGTGTGGTGCTGGTGCTGGTCCCCACCACTCACTTGGCAGGCAGCTCACAGCCGGCCACGGTGTGACTGAGCCCAGCCACCTGCGCGGGCACCGCTCAGCACAGACAGGGCTGGGCCTCTACTCCAGCCTGGCATGGCATAGCATGGCATGGCACAGCTCCCCTCCCCTAGGGAACCGAGGCACAGGCTGGGGGCGGGGAACTCAGCTGTCCAGGCAAAGGGCCCCTAACTGCCCGATGGAGCAGCATCCCTGGTGTGCCCACTGTGGCTGGTGCCTGCAGGGGAAGGGCAAGGGCGACAGAGAGGGCTGAGGCTCACTCCTGGGCAGCAGTGAGGGGCAACCTCCCGAGGTGGGGGCCTGCCCTGCTCGACTGCTACACTGGATAGTGGGCAAGGGCACAGGAGCAGGGTCCTTCCTGAGAGCTACCACTGGTCCAGCAGTGCCGTGGCATCTTTGCAGCCAGTGCCAGACCCTGGTGCATCTCCTGCTCTGGTGAGTGTGACCCACAGCAGCCACAGCAGATGCTGTCCCAGCTCCTCTGGTTGGGGCCGCGGGCTCTGCTCTAACCCTGCACAAGCCACATGGTGCAGTCGGATTCACTGGTCTGCCAGGGACCCCTGGGCTCTAGCAGACAGCCCTCAACCACTGCACCCCACAACTTGGTGCCCCACAGCCTGGCACGCCAGGTCGTTGCATCACACAGCACCCCACAACATGTGCCTGGCTGGGCACTGGTGGCTCTGTGGGGCGGGCAGGAGGGCAGGGTGGCGGGCAGGGCTGGCACACACCGGGCACCGGGAAGCTTCCGTGCCGGCTGTCAGCACGAGCACGCGGCAGACGCAGCCTGCCCAGGGCTGTTTGTTCTGGCTCGGTGCCACGCGGGGCTGGCACTACATCAAACCGTGCGGAGCCTGGCAGGTGCTTGCGGGAGGGAACAGGGGCGCTGACGGTGCCGCCAGGGGCTGGGCACCCCCGGAGCCACTGCGGGCCCCTCACAGCCTGCCCCACCTGGGTGGCCGGCGGCACACGAGACCACCCTGTAACTGGTGCCGGTGCCCAGGAGATGATGGCGTGGGGACCGTGTGCTGTGCATGGCCTGCTATCCACTACCCTCGGTGCCAGCACCGCTCTGGGTCCCAGCACCATCTCTGGTCCATGTGCCCCTTGTTTGCCTATAGGGATGCTGGGGTGGGCTGGCTCCAGACTGGGCACACTGGGACCCTGTCCTCATCCAATCAGTCCCAGTCGCCCAGTTACCCTGGGTGCTGCTCCCGGGTGGTTGTCAGGCAGATTGCAGCTCTCTGTGGGGCCCCAGACCCTGCTTAGCCCGGGGCTCCTGCAGGACAGGGGTCTTCAGGTTCCAGACCCCTCAGCCAGCCCGTGCTGCCACAGGGTTGTGAGGTGCTGGGGCTGCGGTCACCACCATGTGCCACCCGTGGGTATGAGGGGGAGGGACTGCAGGGCTGGACCCTAGCACCTGGGACTGTTGCATGAACAGAGGGGCCTTCCTGGCCCTGCACTCACTTCCCCTGCCTGCTCTGGTGGGATGCAGGACTGAGGGTGACCTTGACACTCCTCCCGCCGGGCCAGGGCTCAGCCGGGGCGTTTGCTTCTCACTGTCAGTTAAAAGATAGTCAAGAAAGCCACTCAGCTTCCCAGGATCGGGACCCCAGGGACAGCCCCCGCACATGGGACTGGGCTGGTCATGTGTCCCCCACCATCCCAGTGCCAGGCTGGGCTAGACCCTCATCCCCCACTGAGCAGAGGCCAGGCCAGGACTCTTTCCCCGTGCAGTGCTGCTGAGAAGGGCTGTCAGGGCTTGGAACAGGTCCTGCCAGCACACAAAGTCTGGTGGGCTTTGGGGCTCCGCAGGCACCTGGGGTTGGTGGGGAACAGTTCCCCTCTCAGCCCTGGCTCTGTGTGTGCCTGGTGGAAGAGTGCCCTGCACTGGGTGCCAGGGCTGGTAGCCCCCAGGCTGGTGGTCCCTGGGGAGGGGCTGCCAGCCCTGGCTGCCTTTGCTGGCACTGGCACCATTGTCCCCAGACCCCAGGCACAGGGCAGTGTGGGCCATGTACAGGCACAGCGTGGGCACAGCCAGGGCGTGCAGCCCTGGGTGGGCACTGGGAGCCCTGCCCACCCTGGCACATACTAATTGCATGTAATGGGGAGAGCGGTATCAACTCAAATCCGTAATTAGGCAGCTCCATTGTCATGCAAACCCGCCTAATTCATTCATAACCAGCGCTTGCTTCATCAGCGCCCAGACGCTGCCAGGCACTCACCGGGAGACAGGCACCCCCACTCAGCCTCCCCCATGGACGTGAGGCTGGCACATGTGGGGCACATGCCAGCAGGGCCAGGACAGTGGCTGGCTCACTGGGACATGCTGGAATGTTGGGTACATGGTCCTCGGGCAGGCAGGGGCACCCCCGGGGGCACTGTGCCCACTGGAGCATGGGGGATGCGTTGGCATCGTGTGCCCATCGTCGCGTCATCCCCAGCGCTCAGCACACGCCAGGCTGGCCAGGAGCCAGGCCCTGTTACCCAGCTTTGGCATCCGACCCTGCTGGCTCCCTGCCGGCTCCCTGCCCGGCCAGGGCTGGCACTGGCACCCGCCTGGCATTGCTGTGGGACTGTGTGGGGCGGGGAGGTGGGTGTAGGAAGAGCCTTCGCTCATGTCCTGATGGCCCAGGTGAGGCTTGGAGCAGCTGCAGGCAGCTGGGCAATGCTGGGCAATGCTGTGGCCCATGGCTGGGTGTCTCCCAGAGGCAGAACTGGCTCACCATGGCTCAGAGCCAACCTCTCCCGGCAGGATGGTGCCCGGCTCAAAGCCTCAGACAAGCTTTTTGATTGTGTCGAGTTGTGCCAGTTCCTTTCTCTGCACCCTGCAGAGAGCAAAGTGTCAGATATGAGATGCCCCTGTGTGCGGGTTGGCACCCGTAGGCTCCCCTGGGCACAGATGGGCACCCTCTGCCCTCCCCCTAAGGCCCACCCTTCCCTCATTAAGGCCGTCGCAATCAGCAGCAATTATTGTTTTAATTACCTGCTGCTGGGGCGCAGGCCGGGCGCCGGCAAAGTGCAAGGAAATCTTTCATGTTAATGGTGTGCCAGGCCTGGCATGGACACGATGGATGGGGCACCAGCTGGGAGCAAATCTGCCGTCTGCAAAGCCCACAGGGATTCAGGGAGGTCCACAGAGGCGGGCACAGTAGTGGAGGCAGGTGCTGGTGTAAAGGTCCCCCACACCGCTGTGGGGACTCCCAGAGTGGCAGCAGCAGGCGGGGGTGCATGCAGGGGTTGGAGACAGAGGGAGGATGGGGCAGGATGCCCCATCAGGGGTGACCGATGGTGGGCAGCAGCATTCAGGGCAGACCCGTGCCATTGGAGCGCTGTCCCACTGCAGGCAGCCCCCTGCTCCCTCCCCGGGGCAGCTGTGCCAAGCAGGCACCCACCAGTGAGCTGGTGCCGGGTCTGGCACTGCCGCAGCTGCCCGTGGGCAGCCTCTCCTTGCCAAGAACATGCTGACCTTCCCAGTGTCTCCCCGCAGCAGGCACTGAGGCACCCAGCAGGCTGCTCCCGGCACTGCTGGGGACCGTGGCACCGGCACCAGGACAGGATCAGCCCCTTGAGAACCAGAGGGACCAGGCTGAGAGCACCTGTTGGCACCCGGTGGCTCTTATCAGTGCCCCCCAAAACTGGGCAGTGCAGTGCAGGGCAGTCTCTCCTTGCCCGGTAACACGAGTACACCTGGCGTTTCTGCTGCTGTGGAGGTGCAGGTGCTAAAGTGAGAGGCTGTGTGGTCACCTGGGGTGGCAGCAGTGGGGCACAGGGAGCAGGGGGAGCTCTGTACATGGGGAGGGGACTGGGAGCAGCTGGGGGTCCCATAGCGCTGGGGTGGTGAGGGCTTGTGCTTAGAGCCCACAGCAGGGTGTCCCCATCCCCTCTGCATCCTGAGGTGGGTGCTGCAGCCCTGCTCCCCGGCCCACCACCCTGTCTCTCCTTCATCCCGGTAACCGCTCGTTATCCCACGTGTGTGGGGGGGATAATTGCTATTAAAGCCCTGCTTAATGCACAGACTTTACTGGCAGGGATTTGTCTGCGCTGGAGCAAACCGTGCTTGCAGTCACCCCTTTGACTGCAGGGAGAGCAGCCAAGGCTGTGCCCTGCCGTGATTGAGGAGGGGCATGGGGTGTGTGGAACCCAGCATCCCCCATCCCCCTGGTCCCTGTCTCCCTGGTCCCCGATCCCGCCGAAGTTCCCCGATTCCCTTTGCCAAGGTGACATAAGCATCTCGCCTGTTTCCATGGCAACGCAGCGGCAGGTGAGCGCGAGGCCGATGCGGGAGCCGGCACGCGCCACGTGGGGGGCCGCTGCCCACGGGGCGCCCACGCTGCTCCCGCACCCACGGGCTTGGGGTGGGACCACCCTGGGGGGGGGCCCACAGAATGTGGGGGGCCCACAGTGCACGGGGGTGGCTGCAAAGCGCAGAGTGCCCATGGGATGTGAGTGCCCATGGGATGTAAGTGCCCACAGAGTGCTGGGCATCCACAATGCATGAAATCCCTGTGGTGTTTGGGAGAGCCATAAAGTGTGGGGTGGCTGTGGTGCATTGGATGGCAACAGGGTGTGTGGGGTGCCCATCATTGATGGGGTGCTCGTGGTGTGTGGGGCAACCAGACCACAGCCCCTCTGCTCCCTCACGGGGCTCCAGGCCAGCTCCAGCCTCCCAGCTATGCCACATGGGTCTATCCATGTCCACATCACAGCAGAGGGCCCCACCAGTGCCTGGCACAATGCTCAGTGGCAGGACAGCATCCCATCTGGGACTGGGCAGCAGCACCCTGGCTCTGCACTCACTGCACATCCCCAGATCCGTTTGCTGCCCATGGTCCCATCCTGCCCACAAGGCACCCCGAACCCCCTTTTGGGGGGGGCAGGGGGGGGGGGTCCATGCCCATCCTGCCTCCCCCACCCATTACTGCTGGCCCTGGGTTTCCTGTGCCCCTCCACTCAGCTATGATGGATACCCACACAGCTCAGGAATTGCTGTACTCATTTCGTGTGTGATTAGAAGGCCGGTCCCATGGCACAGTTCACCTGGCGTGCCTGCCAGAGCCACCCGGACAGGAGGCAGCTGTGGTGCTGTGCAGCAGCAAACATGGTATTTCACAAATAAATTGGGTTTATTTACGCAGCGCCCACGTGCCAGCGTGGGTATTGCAGCATGGGCACCCAGGAGTGCCCGAGCAGCGGGCACAGCAGTGCAACCACGGGTGATGCAGCAAGAGGTGCCGCAGCCGGCGTCAGGGACGGCACCGTGCCGGGGACCGCAACGCCTGTCCGCGCCGTGACCCCCCGGGCTGGCCCCAGCCTGAGGCTGGGGGGGGGGGGGGGTCGTTAAACCAGTGAAATATGAAATGCCTGTATATCCCCGACAGGGGTTTTAATTAAATTAATTGCCAGTGACATTGTAAAAGTGCTGATGGGGTAATAACTGGCGCGTTATGGTCGCCGTTTATCTTCCCCGCGTAAATTAGCTGCCGCACCTTGCCCATCCCGGCGGGCATCGTGGCAGGTTCATCGGCACCCACTCCCCGGCTCCGAGGGGCCTGATCCAGCTGGGGAGAGCAGCAGGGCCTGAAGCTCCCCTGGGAGACCCAGGCAGGGCCTGAGGGATCCCTGTATCCCCTGTGTCACCGTGGCGCAGGCAGCTGTGCCAAGCAGGAGCCAGCTGGGGTGGGCACGAGCAGTGGGGTCCCATGGGCACATGGGGAGTGGCTGGTGGTTGCCAAACGAAGGCACTTAATTACTGCGCATTCCATCCCATTTAATTGCTTATTAAATCCTAACCAGCCAATTAGCAGCAGCAATTACAGCTTCATTCAGTGACACAATCGCTATTTTATCGTTTGTTAATCAAATGCTTATTTAGGGCCCTGGTTTATTAACTCTTTCTGCGGCAGACGCCGGTGGGGTGGGGGGAGGGGGGACACCTGGCCATGTCTGGGATGAGGGATGCAGGCATCCTAAGGCTGTGCCATATGTCCCCAGCACTGCTGTCCCCATGGTGGGACAAGCGTGCAGCCCTGAGCCACCCTTGCCACCCTGGGGACAGCCAGCCCCCACATGCCATGCCAGTGCGGGTGTCAGTGGTACAGGACAGGATGCACTGCTGTGCTACCCTGCTGTGTCCCCACCACTTGCCCAGCATCCCTGTGACACTCCGGGGTGCTGCAGGGCAGGATGCAGCCCCTGGCTGATGCCTTATAGCGTGCTGAGGAGGGGGGTGGCAGGCGCCCCAGAGGCGTGAGCAATGGCCCTTGTTGGTCACACTACATTTCCTTTTCATTAGCACTAAGTGTGGACATGAGGGATCGGCGCGGGTTCAGCGGGCGCAGCCACCGTGCGGCTGCTCTCCCTGATGGATGGCAGGGATGGGAGGGGGCTCCCACGTCGCAAGCGGGGGGGACGGTGGTGATGCACAGGACCACCGGCGTGGGGCCTGCTGGGGTGGATGATGGCCCAGCCAGGGCACGCTGGAGGTGGCCGAGCCCCATCTCCCCGCAGGTGCTCAGCAAAGCGCGACTGTGGCCAACCCGGCATCCGGCGCATCCCCGGACCTGCTACCGCACTTCCAGCTGGAGCCAGAGGACGTCTACATTGTGAAGAACAAGGCAGTGAGCCTGGCCTGCCGTGCCACCCCTGCCACACAGATCTACTTCAAGTGCAACGGCGAGTGGGTGCACCAAGGTGACCACGTCACGCAGCACAGCACTGACCGCAGCACCGGTGAGCACTGGCGGGAGGGACGGTGCCGGCCCCAGTCACGGGGAGCCACGTGTGCCACTCTTGGTGGGGCTTGCACGGGGCTGGGGCCATGGGGACTGCTCCTGGCACACCTTTGCTGACACGCTGCCAACCGGTCCCAGGGCTGCCAGTGATGGAGGTGCGCATCGAGGTCACTCGCCAGCAAGTGGAGAAGATCTTTGGGCTGGAGGAGTACTGGTGCCAGTGCGTGGCCTGGAGCTCCTCTGGCACCACCAAGAGCCAGAAAGCCTTCGTGCGCATCGCCTGTGAGTGTCTTGTGGGTGCCCAGATGGGCAGTGGGCGATGGCCTGGCCCCACCCCTCACCCCTGTGCCTCCCCAGATCTACGCAAGAACTTCGAGCAGGAGCCGACAGCCAGGGAGGTCTCCATCGAGCAGGGCATCGTGCTGCCATGCCGCCCTCCTGAGGGCATCCCCCCTGCTGAGGTGAGTCCCTGCAGCCGGGCAGGGCAGGATGAGGATGCTGTGTGTGCTCCCACACAGGCACATGGTGATATCCTTGTGCTCTGCAGGTGGAGTGGCTGCGCAATGAGGAGCTGGTGGATCCAGCACTGGATGCCAACGTCTACGTGACACCAGAGCACAGTCTGGTGCTGCGTCAGGCCCGCCTGGCCGACACTGCCAACTATACCTGTGTGGCTAAAAACATCGTGGCCCGTCGCCGCAGCTCCTCTGCCGCCATCATTGTTTATGGTACAGCCCCACTTTGCTGGTCCCTGCCACGCTGCCCCAGTGTCATCCTCCCCGTCCTGTCCCTCCCCACGTCCACTTCATGGCAGGGTGCTGACGGGTCCCTCTCCACCCAGTGAATGGCGGCTGGTCGACGTGGACGCAGTGGTCAGGCTGCAGCACCAGCTGTGGACGGGGCTGGCAGAAGCGGAGCCGGACGTGCACCAACCCCACACCCCTCAACGGAGGGGCTTTCTGTGAGGGCCAAAATGTGCAGAAAACCGCCTGCACCACCCTCTGCCCAGGTACCCGTCCTGCCCAGGGCACCACCACCGCCCCACCGTGCGGATGCTGCACTCCCCACTGCGCCCATTGAGGTCCCTGTCCTCACTGGCTGTCTTGTCCTCCAACTCCCCCGTGTGTCCGTCTCTGCCAGCCCTGGGGCAGGGGAGAGAGGTGGCAGTGGGGTGGTAACCTCGAGCTGTACCCACAGTGGATGGCGCCTGGTCAGAGTGGAGCAAGTGGTCGGAGTGTGGGGCCGAATGCACCCACTGGCGCAGCCGGGAGTGCTCGGAGCCAGCACCACGCAATGGGGGCCGGGATTGCCATGGCCCCGAGTTGGACACTCGGAACTGCACCTCTGAGCTCTGCACCCATGGTGAGCATGGTGGGGATGGCAGGATTGTCCCCTGGGAAAGGGGCTGGGGGTGGCCGTGGGTGCTGACGCCTGCCCCGCACAGCTGCCCCCGGTGCAGAGGACGTGGCGCTGTACGTGGGACTGGTGGCTGTGGCTGTGTGCCTGGTGCTGCTGCTGCTGGTGGGGGTGCTGGTGTACTGCCGCAAGAAGGGGGGCCTGGACGCTGATGTGGCTGACTCCTCCATCCTCACCGCCGGCTTCCAGCCCGTCAGCATCAAGCCCAGCAAAGCCGGTGAGAGAGGGTTGAAGGGACAATGCATCGCACTGGGACATGGTGTCCCTTGGGACCTGGGGGTGGCCACAACCCCCAGGTGGATTGGGCAGGGGCTGTTTGCCCCGGGGCATCCCTGGGTGGGGTTCTGTGCCCTGTGGGATACCTGGTCTTGAGCTGGGGTTCTGTGCCTTATGGGTCAGGGGTGTTGTATCTTAAAGAATCCCTGACTGCAGGGTCAGTGCTCTGTGCCACATAGGGTCCCTGGTTGTGGGCAGGGGCTATGTGTCCTAAAGTATCCCTGTTCCCTACACACAGCACCCTGAGTTGCTGCTATGTGCTCTCAGGACCCCACTGGTGACTGTACCCCAAGGGTCAATACCATGGAGCAGGGACTCAATGCCCTTTCAACCCCCAGGGGTGGCTGTGCCCTATAGGATCCTCACCATGGGGAAGGGATTGTGTGCCCTATGCTCCCTGGGGCCGACTGTACCACTGTGTTGGTGGTGGGGACCCCCTGTTCCCACCATGCCCTGGCACCGTGGTTGCTTTCTCTGTGCCACAGACAACCCCAGCCTGCTCACCATCCAGCCCGACCTCAGCACCACCACCATGACCTACCAGGGCTCGCTCTGCCCACGCCAGGACGGCCCTGCCAAGCTCCAGCTGCCCAATGGGCATCTGCTGAGCCCGCTGGGTGCCGGGCGGCACACGCTGCACCACAGCTCACCTGCTGCTGAGGGCGCTGATTTCGTGGCCCGGCTCTCCACCCAGAGCTACTTCCGCTCTCTGCCCCGCGGCACCAACAACATGGCCTATGGCACCTTCAACTTCTTGGGGGGGCGGCTCATGATCCCCAACACAGGTACGCTGGGGCGGGGGGTCTGGAGCATTGCCCAGTGCAGGCAGTGTCCTCATGGGGCTCACTCCCTGCCTGCACCCCCGTTCCCACCCAGGGATCAGCCTGCTCATCCCACCTGATGCCATCCCGCGGGGAAAGATCTACGAGGTCTACCTGACCCTGCACAAGCAGGAGGAGGTGAGGTAGGTGCAGGGGCTGCCGGGGCACGTGGCTCTTGGAAGGAGGTCCGTCCTGACTCAGCTGCCCCTGTTGCTGCCCCAGGCTGCCCCTGGCTGGCTGCCAGACGCTGCTGAGCCCCATTGTCAGCTGTGGCCCTCCCGGGGTCCTCCTCACCCGGCCCGCCATCCTGGCCATGGGGCACTGCGTGGAGGCCAGCGCCGAGAACTGGAGCATCCGGCTGAAGAAGCAGTCATGCGAGGGCACGTGGGAGGTGAGCACCCACAGGGACGAGGGGATTTAGGGATGGAGGTGGGGGGACGGCTGTGGCCAAGGTGCATTTCTGCCTGGGTGCCGCAGGACGTGCTGCAGCTGGGCGCTGAGCCGTGCACGGAGCTGTACTACTGCCAGCTGGAAGCGCAGGCTTGCTACGTGTTCACGGAGCAGCTGGGACGCTTCGCCCTGGTCGGGGAGTCCCTCAGCATGGCGGCCTCCAAGCGCCTCAAGCTGGTCCTGTTTGCGCCGGCCGCCTGCCCCTCGCTCGAGTACAACATCCGTGTCTACTGCCTCAGCGACACCCAGGACGTCCTCAAGGTACTGGGGGTCCCCATCCCCGCCCATCCCAGCTTGGAGCAAGGGCTGTGCTCCCAGGGTGTGGCATCTCCTGCCTGACCACTGCATGTGCCAGCAGGAGGTGATCCAGCTGGAGAAGCAGCTGGGGGGGCAGCTGATTGGAGCTCCCCGGGTGCTGCACTTCAAGGACAGCTACCACAACCTGCGCCTCTCCATCCATGACATGCCCAGCTCCCTCTGGAAGAGCAAGCTCCTCGCCAGCTACCAGGTGGGGAGTCTGGCCAGTGTCTGGGGATGGGGAAGAGGGTGTGGAGGGGTGTCTCTGCCACTCTGACAACTCCCTCCCATCACCCCACTGCAGGAGATCCCTTTCTATCACATCTGGAGTGGGTTGCAGCCCTTTCTGCACTGCACCTTCACCCTGGAGCGCCTGAGCACCAGCACCTGCGAACTGGCCTGCAAGATCTGGGTCTGGCAGGTGGAGGGGGACGGGCAGAGCTTCACCGTCAACTTCAACATTGCCAAGGTGAGGGCAGGGCTGGGGGACTCCTGGGGGTGACCACGAGATGGTCTCACATCCCTCCCCCTTCCCCCTGGTGCTCTTCCCTAGGACACGAGGTTTTCAGACTGGTTGGTCCCTGACAACGAGGTGGCCACCCCAGCTCTGGTGGGCCCCAGTGCCTTCAAGATCCCCTTCCTCATCCGCCAAAAGATCATCAGCAGCCTGGACCCACCAGGCACCCGGGGAGCCGACTGGAGGACGCTGGCACAGAAGCTCAACCTTGACAGGTGACCCAGGCTGAGAACAGTGATGGGGATGGGGTGGCATGGTAGATAGGGGTTCTGGCCTCATCCTGCACCTATAGATGGTTGCTGGAATGCTGTGGGATCCTGGGACCAGGGTGCTGGCCAAGGTGAGGCTAGCACAGGGCTGGTAGCAGAATGTGGAGCCATCCCTGTGCCCTGACATGGTCCCTCTGTCCCCCTCCAGCCATCTCAGCTTCTTCGCCTCGAAGCCCAGCCCCACAGCCATGATCCTCAACCTGTGGGAAGCGCGGCACTTCCCCAATGGAAACCTCTCACAGCTGGCCGCTGCCGTGGCCGAGGTTGGCAAGCAGGACGGGGCCCTCTTCGCCGTCTCCGAGGCTGAGTGCTGAGTGTGGCGGGGAAGGGGGGGCGGGAAACTCTGCTCCCAGGGGACTGCCACCATGGGGCTGGGGGGGGCCCTGGCTGGCCCCCAAACCCCTACAGCCCCGCAGCGCACAGGGAGGACTGCCTGGCCTCCTTGGGAGAGCGGGATGCCCGTGCCCCACGGCAGCCAGGCCCCCCCAGCACTGTGGTGGTGGGGCTCAGCCCGTCCCCAGGGGTCCCACAGCCCCATGGTGGGGGTCGAGGGGGCGCTGGGTGTGCGTCGTGCGTGCGGTGCCGTCGTGCTGTCTGCGTGTGGGGCCGGGCGGCCCCAGGCCCCGTGCCGTGTTGTGTAAAGACCGTTTTTTTAATTCTGTATTAAGTGCATTCAAGTATTTACACTTGGCCTTATGTACATAGCGGTGCCGCGGGCGGGGGGTCTGCCGTACGTGAATGTAAATAAATTCGATATATATTGCTACATGAGGCTGTGCCCGGCCATGCGCTGCCCCACGCCCCTCATGTTCCCCCTCAGAAGTCGGAGGTGTGGAGCACAGCGCTTTATTGGTGTGATGGTGATGGTGATGTCTATTGCCCCGGGCCGGTGGCACGACAGGCCACAGCTGCCACAAGCGCGGCTCCTTTCCCCGAGCCGTCCTCTGATGGCATGAAGGTGACGGTGCAGTTGGGCGCCAGGTCCCGCAGAGTCCTCTGGAGGCAGTGGGAGAAACTGGAGGGGACAGGAGGGGAGGGTGAGGACTGTGTCCCCCACCCCATTCACCCCATGACTCCCACCCCAGGCTCCTGCCATAGGGTAAGGGTCCCTGGTGGGTTCCTGCCATCCCTGGCCCCACTCACTTTGGGTGCAGCTTGTACAAGGTGCCATCCACCCCCACGGTGACAGACAGGTGGTCCAGGCCCCGGTTCTCCCTCATCTTCTCCACCACAGCAGCCATGCCGGCAGCGCAGAGCTGGGCTGCCCGCATGGACACAGTATGGCACACTTCCCGCATCAGCACGCTGTCCTCATAGCTGGCATCGAGGTCCAGCTCCAGCAGGATTTGCCGTATCTGCCGCAGGGCCAGCCCATTGCTGACCCAGACCAATGCTACAGTTAGCACCAAAGTCCCTGTTCCCACCACCGTCCCCATCCCATAGGCTGGAGTGGTATCACCCTGCCTGTGCCCCATCAATGTAGCATGGCCCCTTCTCCTGGGGTTCCGGCCCCCCACCCCAGGTTCAGGGAACCCAGCAGAGCCCAGCACTCACAGCTCGATAGTAGAGAGGAACTTGGTCTTGAAGATATCCTTGGTGAAGAGCTTGGGGCTGGGATTGCCGTGGAACAGGAGCTCTTTGTCTGACATTGCCAGCAGGATGTGGCGCACGATCTCGCCCAGGTACATGCCGCTGATGAGCTTCTCAAACCTGCCCCAGGCACAGCCTCAGCTGGGCACAGCCACCCACTCCCAGCCCCCTCTGCCCCAGGGCCCTTGCCCACCTCTGCTTGCCGGGATTGATGGTCTGCTCGTCCACCACCCTGTCGAAGCTGGTGAAGATGTGGTCCAGGCAGCCATTGTCCCCAAAGGCCCCCCACTCCATGTTGATGCACATGCGGCCCTTGTCCCCTTCCACAGTACCCACGTTCCGCATCTCCTCCATGTAGCAGGCATTTGTCCCTGTCCCTGTGGGCCCCATGCTGGTGTCACCCCCACCACAGTTGTGGTAAAGGCACATGGCCATGCCACATAGGATGGGGTGGTGGTGAGGGGATGGGGAACCTCCTGGTTACAGAGGTGCTCCTCACCCACGATGAGCCCGATTTCACATTTTGGGTCTTCATAGCCACAGGACATCATGGTTCCCACTGTGTCATTAACCAGAGCCACCACCTTCAGCCCTTCATGCTGCCAAACAGGAGATGGGGACACATGCAGCCTAGTGGCAGCCAGCTCGCTCCTGGGGTTGGCACCACCTGGGTGCAGGGTGCACCCCAGGGACAGGGATGGACCACAGGACATTCCCTACATGTTTGCGCTTAGCAGCCTCCCGCAGCAGCTGGACCACGTCCTGCCCCACACAGCCTGAAGCACTGAAGCCTTTGGTCCAGGTCAGCAGCAATGCCTGCAAGAGAGGCAGGAGCAGCCTCCAGGCAGCCGCCTCACACCACATCCCAGGGTCCTTCCTATACCCATGGGGCTGGAGGCAACCCCTCACCTTATCCAGGCCCACTTGCTTGCAGGGGAAGGAAAAGGTGAAGCCGAGAGGTAGGGTGTGTGTCATCAGGTTCTGCTTCAGCTGGAAGTCCATGATGCAGTCGATGATGTGGTCGAAGAGCTGTGGATTGTGGCCATGGTTAGCATGGCCCAGGCTGGGATAATGCTGCAGGGGGCTCTCCCAGCCCCATCCCAGCCCTATAGACAGACAGCAAGGAGGGAGGCAACGTGGACCCCCTCACACCATCCCTTAACCATAGGTCTCAGTCTCACCTCCTCGCCAGTGCCCTGCATGATGGCAGTTGGGATGACATAGATCTCACTGGCCATACGGATGCCCTCCTCTGTCACTTGCACCACCAGCACACGGAAATTGGTCCCTCCCAGGTCCAGTGCCAGGAATTCACCTAGCTCTGTAGAGAGCCAGCACAGGGCATCAGCAGAGCCATGGCCTCCTCAGCACCCACTTCCCACTTCCCAATGCCCCTGTCCCTCACCGGTGCCATCAGGCGTGTGACAAACATATGTGGGCAGCATGCGGACAGAGGCAGTGGCATGGGTCTCCTGACCCAGCCCTAGCTCCATCTCCCGCCTCATCAGTGCCTGGACCTCCACCAGGTCATCACGCTTGAGCCGCAGCGGGGCCAGCAGCTCGGCCACCTTCTGGCGCTGGGCCTCCAGGCGCACAGCCACTGCTGTCACCATGGCTGCCCCCCGCCCAGACCCATCTGTTGAGGGCAAGAAAGTGGGCACACACTCAGGGGCCAGCAGCTTTGTCACACTCTGCAGGATCTCCTCGAACCTACTAGAGGAAGAAGAAGATAGCAAGGGCATGAAGCATCCTACTGGGATGCCTAAAATCTGCTCCTCACCCTGTCCCACGAACAGTCACTCACTCGGGGGGAGGCTCCTGAGAGCCTGAGACCCTCACAGGGGCCAAGGGAACCAGCTCCTGGCCACTACCCCTGCACTGGGGGCCTGACCCTCCTCACCTGGTGTGGCCTTGGTACAGTTCTCCATCCACCCCCACGTTGACAAGCAGCTGATCCATGTCCCGGGTCTCGCACATGTAGCTGAGGACGGCAGCCAGGCCAGTGGCGTAGAGCGTGGCAGCGCGGCTCACCACCGCCCGGCAGATCTGCTGCACCCGGCTGCAATCTCGCTCATTTGGCTGCAGCCCCAGAGCCTCCAGAGTCGTCTTCGTCGCAGCCATGCCTTCCTCAATGCTGCAAGGCAGAGCACAGCCTTGCAACACTTGCAGGTCCAACAGCTCGCAAACAGGGGCACCCATCCATCACACCCCCATTCTCCCACCCATGGTAGGCTCCTGGTCCCCAGACACTCACCTGATGATCTCCAGAACCTGATGGGTCGTGAGCACACCCTTCTCCTTCAAGACAGCAACACTGCTCCCAGTGAAGAGTGCTTTTTCAGCGGCCAGGGCGATCAGCACGTGTCGGGTGATCTCCCCCAGATACAGGCTGCCCACCATCTTCTCAAATCTGCATGCAGCCCACATGGGAGTCAGTTGTGCCTCCCTAGCACCCGTTGGCCCTTTGAGAGCACCCAGGAGCATTGCAGGGCTCCTGTTGTGCTCCTGTTGGTAGGGCCTGAAATGCCCAGGGATGGATGGGGAACCCCAAGGACCCCGTCCTTGCTGAGGGGTGCGAGCACCTCTTCTCCCCAGGCCTAAAGGATTCTTCGTCCACGCACTCATCATAGGGGGTCAGGATGTCATTCAGAATACCATCGTCCCCGAAGCGGCCCCACTCAGTGTTGATACACATCCGCCCGCTGATCTCCTCTGCTGTTTCTACCAGATGTCCCTCGGCCATGAAGCAGCAGTTGCTGCCCTTGTCTGCAGGGAGCAATGGGGGTGAGCACCAGCTCGGCCCCCCCAGCACCCATCACCCTGGCACGTGGGGTGCCCGCTGTTCACCTGCAACCAAGGCGACCTCACAGGGTCTTCCCTCTGTGCTGCAGGTCATCATGGTGCCCACCGTGTCATTCATCAGGGCAACAACTTCCACATGGGAGAGCTGACCGGGAGCAAAGTGAGAGCATCATCAGCCCCTCCACGGGGGCACCCCCTGACCAGGTCTCCCCCACCCCACGGTCCCCCACCTCCTGCTTGTTGATGGCTGACTGTAGCAACTCCACAACATCCTTCCCCTCCACGTCACTGCATTTGAAGCCCTTGGACCAGGAGATGAGTTCTGCCTGTGGAGAACATGTGGCAGAGCCATTGGCCTCCAGCACTGGGCTGGCTCCTCTCCCCACTGCTGCTGTGCTGGGGATGTGGTCACAGCCCGGGACAGGGCCCCTCACCTTGTTCAGCTGTGTCTGCCGACAGCTGAAGGGGAAGACAAAGCCCAGGGGGAGATGTTCCAGGGGGGTGTTGGCATCAGCCAGGAACTGGGACAGGCATTGTGCAATGAAATCAAAGAGCTGCAAAGACATGACTAGGGGTAAGGGCTGCTTCCCTTATCCAGTACCCAGGATGCAGGAGGCAGTCCAGAGCTCCAGCCCCAGTCCAGAGCCCTGCCAAGCCTCCATGGTGCTGGGCAGCCCAGCACCAGCCACCCTGTGCCATGGCCTCCTCATACCGCTTCCCCCTCGCCCTGCATGATGTCCTCTGGCATGTCAAAGGTCTTGTACATCATTTGTGGGCTCGGGTTTCCATCTCCAAAGAGGGTCACCAGCAGGGTCCGAACCTGGCTCTGGCACAGCTCCACCACCAGAAAGTCACCCTTCTCTATGGGGGAACAGAGGCTGTGTCAGGCCACAGACCTTTCCTGTGGCAGATCCCTTAAAATCTGCTCCTCAGCCTATCCCAGGGCAGTCACTCACCCATGGAGGAGGCTCCTGAGAGCCTGAGACGCTCACAGGACCCAAGGGAACTAGCTCCTGGCCACTCCCCCTGCAGTGGGGACTGGCAGAGAGGCAGCTTATGGACTCCGTAACTGACTGGAGAGCTGTGTACCCCTCCCCAGCACCCTCAGGGCCAAGTCCAATGAGGTGGGGCTGCAGGTAGCAGAGCAACCCATCCTCAGACCAGGCTGTCTTACCAGTGCCGTCAGGAGTGGCGCAGATGTAGGTGGGCAGCATCTTCAAAGTGGCCCGTGAATGTGTTTGGCGGCCCAGCCCCCTGCGCATGGCCTGCATCATGTGGCCCTTCATAATGTGCAGCCTCTCCAGCGGGATGGTGAGCGCCCGCAGGGCTCGTTGTACCTGGTGATGGTGCATTAGGCCAGGGGCACAGGGACGA